AGCACAAATTTCGCCTCCGAAGCCTGTCACTCCGTCAATCGCTTACACAGCGTGCCGGCACATTGAGTCCGAGAAGTGAACACAGCGACGCGCACTGAACATGTATTGAGCGGGGCTATGATGTGAAGTGAAAGCGCCTGACAAGGTGCTGGACTAGGACATGTGACGTGACGATCAGGAACTGACAGTTAAGCACACGAATCTAGTCTGTCAGACCACGCGCAAAATGCGTGATGCACTCCTCCGGTACGCTGATTGATTTACTCTGTCCCCCTCAACTGCTGGTGGTAGGGGTGTAAACGTGAATCAACCTGTAGTGGATGGGCAAAGCGTCTTCGTTCGGGACGCCTCGCGGATGGGAATTACGTCTGTTACTGTAACATAGTTTACTGTTGAATTCCCGGCCGCCTTGATTTCTACTTGGTGCCAAATTAGACACAATTCGTGGAGTACACTCCTTTGCACACAAATTCGGTTTTAACAGGAGATTCAACTGAACCTTAGATGAGTTGGTTGTTAATCGTCAATTTTGTGAAACCTGAGGGTAGTAAGAAACGACGATGCTGGTCGTGCAAAATTATGATTTCATGTCCCCAGTAGAGAAATACTTAACTGGATAGTGAATTTAACACAGAACGAAGCCTATCATGACATCAAATCGCGGAAAATGATTCCAGAAAATATTATCCCAACTAGATCTATTAAGAACCAAATCCAATGTAGATTATGTTGTAGCATAAGTTTGTTAGTTCTCGCGCTGCTGATCGTGAGACCGATGAACTCTTTGAATCTGGTCTTTCGAAAGTAGGCAAACTGCCGCCTTGGGTCAACACCTAAATAAAAACCACTAACCTTGTGATCGTTACGTGTCAGATATCGTAACCAACAGAGTGTGACTGTTCTCAGAAGGCCCGTGCAAATGGTTCCATTTATTCTCATCTGGTTAGTTAGGCAGAATTTTTCATTTGGGTGTTTTTTGGACTACACGCGTGCATCGTCGGCAGCGCTTACTTTAAAAACATGCACGTGTTAGGCCAAGTATTCACAAAAGCATGAGTTTTAAACAAGATGTGGTTATGCGCTAGCCAAAATAAACTCTCAGCGAGAATGCCAGGACTGTTCAACTTTGTATCACTATCAACTTACTACTTGTTACGAGTGAAAGTGTATTGACCTAACTGTTTTTCCTTTCTTGGTTTTCCAGTCAGACGGCTGTTGATCTGTTCACCGAGTTTGGTAACTAACTTGCACACTTTTCGTCACCAATCGAGGAGACAGTGTCAATACGCCATGATGTCCGCTTGTTTGATGATGAAACGTTTGCAAGTTATTTACTAAGCCACCTGATCATAAGCCAATAAACGCACTCAAGCTACCAGTGTTTTTTCTTTCATCCGATTGGTAACGGTGACCTATTTTATATCGGATCGTCATCGATGAGGTACATTTTCCAATGCTTAAGGTGCATTTGCAATACAGGTATCCTATACCAGAAAAAATACACCAGCGTTCAAGCTGCACTCGAATGCATTGTGGTATCTCAACACTGGACTATCACCTCAAAGAATTTTGGTTGTATCTCCGGACCACAAGACGGGTCAGGAGGTCCGAAGCCAGTGCTCCTCAAATTAAACGTCGGTCAGAACCAAAACATCGGTATTTCAGCGTCCGGTGATACAGATCGCTTCAACGCATCCCTTCCAATTACCAAGTGCCACATTGCGCTACTGCGCGACCAAGTACTTCACGTTAGTTCACAAACTGGAACGTGCTCACAAAGTAGAAATCGGTTGCCGTACATGAACACTGCTACTTACAGCGACGATATTTCAGCAGGAGATGATCCACCCAAATATAGCTGCAAATCTAAGTTGCAGCTAGAAGAAATGCAAATCCCATTGCGAGTGTTCTGTCTCAGATACGGATTTTGCGGAATTTGTTACATTTGCGCTGTGTCCGATGATTATCACCAGGAACAGTGACCACACGCTAACTACGATAAGCCTTGAAAAGCATTTAACTGTTTGTAGCCTTGTCACTGAGGATGCGAAAAGCTCACTGAGAAGACGTGACGTGATAGAACATGGATTTTTTCTACCATAGTTTGTTTGCCAGCTACCAGTACACTGGTTTCCAACTACAGAAAAAGCGAGACGAACGGAAGTCTTTCTGATCTACGAAGAGTTGGCGTAGTTTATCATGAACAAGGCTTACACGATTAACAGCCTAGAACATCTGTCGGCACATCGCGATTCCGATTTTAAACTACTCGGTGATTCCTGACATTGTTCTGATCGTTTGTAAGAACGAAATCAAACAAGACTGACTTGGTACAGAGTCCTCATACACGGTGTGGCATAGATCGTCACGACGCTGATGAATTTTTGGTCCTATTGCGCCATAGTAACGCAAGTGAGTTCAGTCTGTGCTAGTAGAATAGCTGTAGACGAATTTCAGACGAATAGCAGACGATTTTTGGGAATCCAAATGCTCACCATCAAGGATGTTTCCCGCTGATGAATTCAGAAAGAACATAACTCGAGTTCGGTGTTTTTTTTCTTGATCTAATTGTTCTTCCAGTCGGGTTTTTTAAACCCAAAATTACCGTCCGCGATTGAACTTTATGCATGAACGCGCGGTTTACGACACTCCAGAGCATCGCTCGCTGCTTGGCTGCCACGTTACAAATCGCGTTGAAAGAACTCTGTACTCTGATACTCAAGTTTTCATCTCCTGATTAGTGTTCAAACTCAGCTAATCCTCTAAAGCACTCTGCCTGGTTGAACTGATCCAAGTGCGCAGACGCAGGCTTTCCCGCGGTATCGGTGCTAGAATGAAGTAAAGCGGAATTTTACAAGTTTGCCTGAAGTTAGCAACAGCACAGTGATAGTCACCCATACCGAGTGGGCAGACCCAGGTCCCGTCCGCCCACTGTTCCATAGCGGGTAAGACTCTGGAGCTTGTTATAGCTGCGCGCAGTCTGGTCATGTTTTAAGAACTTGGATGATGAAAAAACCCTCAAAAACAGACAGCGATCGCTAGAAAGTGGAATTCCCTGTGCATATTGTCGTTGTATATTGAGAAACCTTATGGCAATTGATGTATGAGTTCCTCAGCTCCTGAATAATATTCGACACAAGATTTTACAAGAAATCAGGGGGAATATTTTGTTCTTAAGGGGCATTTAGGCTGGTTGAGAATATGGTGGTATCAATAAAATTCGCCAGCTTCTTTCTCTCTTCAACACAATGTTTAGACAACTTCCATTCGCGATCATCAGGCGAGAATTTCAGCTAAATGGAGCGCACTCTGCTAGGACTACCTAATTAGCTTCATAACAAACCAGTTGGCTGTGCATGTTACATCAAAATTTGAGGTTAGCGATTGTCAATGGTCATTTTATCCTTTATCAGTTTCTAACTTAGCCATCTTTGGTGACAAATATGTATCAGAAATGGCATAAAGGAATCATTTTTAAACGTCTGCTTTGTGAGCTCTTCATCTGTAATCCCCTAGAAGACGCATGATTCATTTCCCTTAGCGAATACGCCATAAATAGGAGACCGTGACGTGCAGCTGCTTTACACTATCTCGTGTTGACGAACCGTTTATTTTCATTCTATTAGTTCGCTCACTTGCAAACCAGATTGGGTTTCTCCGATGAGCCCCAATGTGACAGCTTACGACACCCGATGATTTTCCATCTATTGAAAAAAAATCAAGATGAACATAGTAAACCACAAATTCACAGGGAAGAAAGTACAACAGAGGATACATAAAACGTGTCAAGTAGCCATGCAGTCTTTTAGTGGGGGGTTCTGTCTCAAGGGAATGATTTTGAAATGCATTACCCTTAAATTGCCCTTGTTGGGGCTTGAGTGGTAAGGATTTCGGAAAGTAAAAAAGACCTTATTTGAAAATTCCCTATCGAAAAACTTCACTATATTTAACTGAGTTGGTGTCTAGTTTAGAATTCGCGCAGTTGTAGCATCCCGTTTAAGGGAGAAAACCGGTTAACAAATTTTATTTCATTTTTGCTTAAAATGGGTTTCATTTAAGGTGCGGTAGCCGATTTAATGAGTTTATCACACAAGGCATCGCTGCCGTTAGAGATTAAGGGTTTCTCCGTGACCACTGATCTTCGTAGGTGGTAGAGTCGAATTTGTTAAAAAACTTGCCACCCAGTGGTCTGGAATTTATGCGGATTCTGGTCATGCCGAAAGGAAAACTGAGTGGACCGTTCTTCAATCCGTTCAATGTATCGTCATTGTGCAAAGTATTATCAGCTGATTTGTTTCTGTGTATTCATTCGTTTCATACTCACAGAAAATAACTTGAAAGCGCTTCGATGCCCTTGATAGAATGCACTCTCTCTTCCTTTTGATAGCACTATCTTATCTTACGTCAGAAGCATCATTCTGCCTGACTGTTTGTCATAAATTCATTCATACATTTGCATGCCTGGTATTGTCTTTATTGTCCAATATGCCACCATGGTTGTAACAGTTCCAACCTGTTGTGTGATGAAAACTACGAATGCCAGAGTTGTGACTAGTTGAATACACTCAGCCCATGTCGGTCGAATCTATAGGGTTTCAACGGACAACCGGAAGAATATGAGCACCATGCACTACAGTACCATAATACCAACACGGTTTCTTCTCACAGCCCAACCACAACATGATACTGGTGTTCAACAATATTGGAAGTTCCTTCGTATCGGATTCAAAGTGTGTATACAACGACTGGTTAACCTGGAACAAAGGATTGGCAGTGCATTACCCAATGAAAGGTGTAGCTTTTGAAAGTATTCGAACGCGGAAGTGCTCAGATCAGCCTGAAAGAGGTACTCAGCCGGTACCACTCAGTTGTCGAATGGGCCGTAAAAGCCATGGGATATCAAGCTGGAGTTATGGAAGATAGACTCGCATCATGGCTGTTCGGATAGTACCCGAACAAAACTAAGAATATGTTATCAACATCGACTCAAGAAATCAACTATTGAAGATTAGGATGTGAACTTCTGGTCAGCTAAATACCAAAGTCATTTTTTCGTTTGCATTTCAGCGCCACTGTTTTTGAACTTTTGGAAGGTTTTTCGGTCGCTTACATCTGCTACCTATCAATATTTTATCCGAGCTGGGTCTGATATCATTTGTACATCAATGGGAAAAGTCAAAGTTAGTTTTCTGTTCAAATTTTATCAGGAGTGAGTCGTTAAATATTCGGGATTGGTTTTGCGTTTCAACATCACCCTAAACTTGCTCCAAGACGCTAGCAGTTTAATGGACAATTAGGAGTTTGTGAGTTCATTCGGAGTTAAATGAATGCAGTATTGACTTCGTGAGATAGATGCTTGTTGGTGCATTGATCACCGTGATAAACCTTGTTTTATTGGCTGCCTATCTAAGTAGGAATAAATAGTTAGCTAAATAGTTATACGCCTGATTCTTGAAATTTGAAAAATCTACTGAGTCTTTTTCTCATCTTATTGAACGCATTTGATATTAGTAAAATATCTGGAAAATGGCTACATCATCACCCTGCTCTCTCAAGGGAATCCTCTAGAAACCACTGAAACTGAATAGGTTTGCACGAAAGCGAACATCTGATACACGCGATAAGAATGAAACGAGTTCGAACTTAATATACTTCTTGAAAAAATGACAACACAATTCCTTCACACTTGGGGTCGTGACCAATCTGCATAGAACTTGATTTGTATGCTACCTATTCGGCAGAAATTCGACGGACGGTGCTAGTACTCTATTCAGTACGTATTGTTACATCACACTGTTTCACTGCGGCCTGCTGGTGATAAATGAATAACTCACGCAAACCCAAGAGCACAGGCTGCAAGGCACTGCCCTGTGATTTTGAACAAGCTCTTTCGACTGCAGTACCTATGAGCCATTCTACTACCACTTAACTTGAATTGCTGTCACAGTCTCTCGCACAGGTAGCCTCCTAAATACACGCAACAGAGAAACCTAATTCTCTACAAGCTGACGACTTCACACGCACCACGAGTAAAGTCAACCATTTTGTACATGAAAATGTACCTTCCTTCTCTTGATATCAGAATGTTCACAGAGAAGAGTTCAGTTCTGCGGCAGCCCTGTAATTTTTGTAACGAAGATTTCGCAATTCTCAATGGTTACCTCACTGCAAAATTGAATGAAGATAACTACGGATTTAACACCAGTTCAACTGAAAAAAAGCTCTCGAGTGGAAGTCATGAAATATAAACTTCTCAGCGGTCCAAAAAACTCCAAGACACCTTTTGGAAGCTTTTAAATCTGACTCTGTAAAACACTCTTTTGCGAATTTTGGACGACTCTGTGGCCGCATGTGACCACACATGGTATGTTAGCATTGGTGTCATGCTTGTGTATGGTTGAAGAGAAAACTGCAAGCTCTTTCAATATGTCATGACCAGGTTCGTCTAAATGTGAACAGTGGCTAGAAATCTTAGTTGAATGCAGCCACAACTCGAATGTCGTGGCTCAAATTTGCTGAGACATTTGTTGCCTTTGCCACGGTTTCATGATGGTCCTGAGTATTTATTGGGATAAAAATGAGAGAAACACAACAATACAAACCGAGTGCGGGGTACTAGGACCTGATTTTTTAGTTTCAGAGAAGGTACACTTACCAGCGTGAATAAAAACAGAACGGGACATTGTAAACATGGATTACATATAAAGGATCGTTTCTTATCACTGGGTAACAAAGCCTATACCTGAAAACAAGTCATAAGCCAAAATAATCAAATATGGATAGTGATGAACTGAAATAAACTGAAGCTAAACATGTTTGTGCAAAATTCAGTGTACGGCACGTTCCTCTCCCTGTACGAATCGCTTCGTTCAGTGTCCTGACCTATTTTCAGCATAAAAAATACCGTAATTATGCGCCATTTGTAAGTACCTAAGATAGCGTATGAAGTATTTGTTTTCATTTCCTCAATATTCAACCATGGTGTGTCGAAACATATAACGCCAAGTTCTCTTCAGAAGTTAAGTTTACATTACTTCCACCGAGAAATTGAATCTTTTTGTGAGTTTCCATGTACCGTTTGTTTCGGTATCAAGGTACCTGATCATTTGTTCATTTCAAATCACATCGAATCCAAAGGTGGGTATTATCGGAGGGTCTGGAATGAATGACCCGAATATTCTGGAACATTCAAGTGAACGTGTGGTAACAACCACATTCGGTGACCCATCGGACAGCATTATTGAAGGCATGATAGGCCGCGTTCCTTGTGCAGTTCTTCCAAGGTAAGTAGTTGGGGTAAATTATTAATGGCATGTTAACTGACCGTTTCATATCAGTACTATATGATCCACTTCTGGCTGTTTCAGCACTGAATGTTGGATTTTTTCATTCCTTTGACTTATGTCCACATGGCGAATTCGCCATGAACACCAACTATAGAGACTAATCATCGCCTAAATTTTGAGCAAAGCAGTTTGTATAACAAACCTTTGGTTACGTAGGATTAGGAAATATTATAAACCGATGTGCACTTTTTCAGAAGACCAACCACTTACTCTAGTAGTATCGTGATCATTACTAGCTATCCTCATCCTGAATTTGCTGTGCAGGGGTTAGAGTATAATCCAGACAAACGCGTAATTTTGCTTCCCCATCTAGCTGCGTATGCGTCAAGCTGGTAATGGCCTATTAACTCGCGAGGAAACGTTGGAATTGGCATTGAAATTGGACTCTTATTCATAAACTTGTGTTGCCTTGTCACCTGGTCATAGTTCCAGCGGAAAATCTGACCTTGGGTACAAGGTTTCCCCGCGAATGCGTCTTTTCTCTCCTACCCAAAACAAAATCGTTGGGTTTTGCAAACCTTCAAACCTCTATGGTTGTTTGGAGTGATAGGCTATTTGCGACTGCATCAATAGTATTCCCCCCCCCCATTTTGCACCGTAAATGAAGTTCGATTCTTACATTGTCGACCAGAGAAAAACGTAATTTTGTTTATGTTTTGATGAGACAACCGCAGTTGTTTGTCAGCGGTTTTTTGTAAGAAAATGTTCCCGTGCTTGCTGAGTTATCGTGACATAAGTTCATTGAGAATCCCCTTGAAAGTTTTGTGCTTTGTTACCACCACACTCGTTTATTCCGAACCAGGTTAAAACTGGTGAACTAGTATCATGCTGACAGTTCAGTCTTTATTGAGAACTTCAAGCATTAACCGTGGTGCCACCTGTTCTGAAAAAGGAAGGCAGTATCTTCAGAGGCAACGAGATAACGAACAAGTGGATCGACCAGCATGAGGAACTTGATGTCAAATTTATGCGCTTTGTTCACATGAAGGAGATGAACCGATCGTATGACTTCAAGGACACTAGCCAAGCGGAAGTCAAGCAAATGAATATTTCGCTAACTGGCTGCGAAAAATTCAAATATTGCGAAAGTAGACGCCACCGAAACCAGTGATTTTCAAATAAACTAATGTTCATTTCAATGAACGGAAGATGTTTTCAGATGTTAGCACTGTTCTGCAGAATGTTCGTGCACCATAATCGTCTCTTTATAAGCCTTTCTGCAGAATGACATGAGCTCGTGTACTGACAGTCTCAAAGCAGTGCTGGCATTACATTGTGTAAAATACTGTCACCTCTGAGCGAACTGAACGTGTTTAAAGTAGTTTATATTCCCTTGGCAAGCACTTTCAAACCAGGTCAAATTTCTCCTCGGTTAGTTAACGGACCGTTCCGTTTGGATTACCTCACTCAAAAGCACACCCAGGAAATTTTAGTGTATTTTGGAATCCTTCACCTACGGATGCCATTTTGGGATAAGAATGAAGACGTCGAATCCCGGGTGCATAGGCCTTTTGAAACTGTTGACCAAGACGCTGGACATCCAAGTGCATGTGCTTTCAGACAAACCGTATTCGTCGCACCTGTTCTCAGATGCTCCCTATCGAGACCACCACGGACATATTGGGTAATTTTTTCCAGAACGGACGTGAGACGAAGATAGTCCACTAGGGTTAGTTCGTCACGGCGCCTTAAGTCGCCAGGGCCTGCCTCCCACCTTGGTTGTTCCGGGTTTTCTACTCCGGACATTTGACATGCCAGGCGAGCGTGTCACCACTGCTGCAACAGTGCGGTTATCAAAATGTAAACAGGCGACACATTAGTACGATGCCAGTGTTAGCCTGACGCGTCGGACAACGACCAAGTGTACAAAGCAATCGATATTTACCAAGATTTTTAAACACACACTTGCAGGCTGGTTGCGTCCTACAGCCGTAAATCTATAAAAAAGGACTTATCGGAAATTATTATGGTAGCGTTATTGAAAGACTGAAAAGGTATCATACTGCCATACATAGATGCTGATCTATTCTAGACGAACTTCAGATAGCATGGACATATGCTCCATTCCTGTGAATGAGACCCCATAAAATTAGGTCAACGACGTAAAAGGTGGCTCAACTACAAGTTCTATCGAAATAAGTATCAAATTCTTAGACATAAAGAAAACCCCATCATCAACTAAATGTATTTGCAATCAACTTACAGGAGACACTTCTGCAGAAAAGTGGGCACTTTTTCCTCTCAAGCAGCTTGAAAGGCTTTTTTCATCAGTCTACCCTCTGATACGCATACTCCGAGCCACAAATGATGGTGGAACCCGATGACTTGGAACATCATTATAGATGTATCTTCCACCTGAAATGCTTTCTGACTGCAAACTCTCTGCAAGTATGATCGTAATTGAAAGCGCGCTAGCAGTTCTTCAGGAACAAAAGTGTTCCCGAGGTCCTTGACAGAGGCTGAGATCACCGTGAAAACCGTCCTTAACTCTCTGAACCCCATTAGCACAAATCCGCACTTTTCCAACTGCCTTCACTATAGACTGACGAAATGTTTGGCACAAATAACGAAACCATTGTTTGACCGATTACCAACTCACGCCTTGCGAGATAGTTTCCAGCTAGCAGCACCGCCGTCGCATCCAAACCACTACGATCAACTCCTCGCAATTTTGGACCTCATGTGTTTGTTTACACAAGAAGACTCCCACGAGACTGTTGAAAGTGTCTGTGATATCCTTTTTACCATAACAGTACTCTGGAATACTGGTAACATAATAACGATATTGCCCCGCTATTGTACTGGAAACTAGTTTTAACCCACAAGGTCATTATCACGTACGGCTTGATGAATTCGCCATAGCTAGTCAACCCGCGGCTGCTTTCCGGGCTATCATACAAATGCGGATGGAAGGTCTGGGCGAACGGGCTATATTCTACAGAATACGCGTAAGTGATATCTTCGTGACCATGCGATCGATTCCCTAAAGAATATAGCTCTCTCGAGAACTGATAACCGTTAATCTCAGTATCGTATTGACGGCTGATTTCAACTTGAATGATACAATTGCCATCCTGCATATCTAAAGAGCACGTGATGCAATGAGGTGTCTTGTGAACAAAACAGCTTGAATAGTCAGTTTCCATCATTTTCAATTTTTGTGCCACGGCACGAGAAAAAGGAGGTATCCGTGAAAACGCTATGTGGCAGAGTAAGGAAATTTTTCTTGAAAGATAAGATCGACGTGAAATGTAATAAATATAGGATACAATGGATATGAATCAGAGTGTGTAAACCGGGGCACCAAGTTGCGTCTGAAGCAGTAACTGCTCTTCTCGATACATAAAGTTGAAACTCAGAGGAGTTGTTATTAGATTGATTGTGGTGTGGCGTCTAAACCCAGCCGTCAATCGAAACTACTACACTGTTAGACCGTCAATTAACACACCACTATCTCAGTGTGTACCGTCCAATCTCATTCAGCGTTTTTCCTGAGAATACTGAACCCTCAACCCCAACCGCATGAAGCATCAGAATGGAACAACCATCTCCAAGAAAGAGGGAGGCCTTGACCGGTGGGCTGAATACTTTGGAGCGTTTTTCGAATACTGAACCCTCAACCCCAACCGCATGAAGCATCAGAATGGAACAACCATCTCCAAGAAAGAGGGAGGCCTTGACCGACCGG